AGCCCCTGCGTGTCCCGATCCTAAGGACCCAAGTGTCGGGCCCACGGAGTTTAACAGCTCCGGGGGACCTGGGAACCAAGTAACACTGACGGAGATACAGCTGCTCCGTGGGAACGAATTCTTGAACCCCGCGGAGCCTGATTCACTCTGGGGTCAAGGAACTGAGTTTATTAGAGTCCTCCACCAAGAACTCAAGCGGAGCTGAGCCTGGAAAGCTGACCAGCCTACACCGCGACCACCTTGGGTGTAAGTAAATAATCTTTTCAATCAACCATTACGCCTCCGTGACTGATTCTAGCTCGAGCGTGCCGTACCGCACCGCGGTATTTTCCAACCCCGTGTACCCGGGCTACCGGCCACAGCCTCTGTACACACAAAGACGGGCCCCCGGCTCACACATGGCGACCCAGATGGGATCGGGAGAGAGCTCGCACATGGCAATCCAGGCGGGATCGGGAGTCGGCCCACACACTCACAACCTGGCACTGACCACGTGCTGGAACACCTGCATTCCACCTCCCAGCTGGGAAAACCTGGATGCCTGGGTTTTATTTCCCTGCTGTGGGAACTGGGAACTGAAGCATTTGGGCCCAGAGGAATGAGCCTTTTCCAGTTTTCTGAGATGAAAATGAAGGGGGGAGGGTCTGATTGGAGAATTCCCATTTCCCGCTGCATCTTACCTGTCATGGTGCTTATAAGTAGGTGTTCTGCTGAACAGTGCCTGGACACACACTAGCAAAAACCTACAGTTGCAACTGTTAGTTACACCTCAGCTGTGTGACTCAGAAGAAAGTTTTCAGTGTCTTTCAGAGTCTTTTTGGATGCCATTTTGCGCAAAGTGGTTCTGCATCAACGCACTGGCCTCTCTCAGGCAAGCAACGTGACCTTGAGGGATGGGGTGGCCAGTTGACAATTAACCAGATTTATGGTCATTCAACATAATGCAGACAGATAAACTCCCAACAACAGTATGGGGTCCTGGCCACTGTCATGGAGTTGTGGGGGCAGGGTGTTCAAGAGGCCAGAGATCCATGGGGGATTATCAATAAATCAGGATCATCTGTCTTCCACATGGACAATCAGTTTTCCACACTGAGTCAAGAGCAACTTACCAAGAAATCACATTAGACTGTACCATCACCTATACACATCTCATTCAGAAGTTCTGGAGTAAAGTTTCTGCACGGTTAGCTGTCTTCAGACATTTAACTAGCAAACATAGCACAACAACTTCAAAGTGCTCAGAACCACCGCATTTGCAATGGTATACACCCCAGCAGATTACTGTGCTCCTGTATGGTCCAGACGTTGTTGCACTAAAAAGCTCAGCACTGTACTTAACAGTGCACTGAGACTCAAAACAGGCTACACAGAGTACACACACACATATATTCCCTGTGTATTCCTTGCACTGTAGGGCATTAGACCAAGGGACATAAGAAGACAGATCCTAACCACTCCCCTACTACCAGGTTTTTGGGCCCACAGAGAGTCCAGCAGGCCAGGTATTGTAGCCTTGTGTATTGCACTAAATTTAGATAAGGGGTGGGGTGAATGGAAATTAAATGATCATTCAGAGTAATCTAGTCTGAAATATATTCCTACAGAATTTTATACCAACACCAAATGAGTTCCCCATTGGGCACAACTTTGACAGAGAAGCATGGGTCAAGCTAAAGAGACAGATAGGGCTGTGCTAGATAGGGATGCTTCTTAACAGCACAGTATTAGATGAACATCTTGGAGAGCCCCCTATGTGAATGTGGTGTCCACAATCAGCACAGCACTTAATCAAAAGCAGCACTCCTTACAAATGTACTGACGGGCAGATGGAATTCGCATCCACATCCATCCAGAGTTATTTTAGATAGGGATCCACCATTTTTACAGGCTCTGTGTGACCTATCTGTTTGGTTATAGATGTACAGTGCTTTCTGTGCTCCTACCACATAGTAAGTGTAAATTCTGTGCCTGACCTTTGTGGGCTGTTTTCTGGCTTTGTGGCTTCAGCTGGGGATGCAAGGCTGCCTAGCTCCACGTTCCCTAGTCAAGGGCTCTTTGGACTTCTAAGCTACTAGCTTCTTGAGAGATTACTGCTTGCCTCCTGCTCCTGGTAGATCCTAAGAACTACATCATGCTGACAACATGGGTCACACAGCCATCATAGCTCCTTTTCTATATAAGTTGAGCCTGCCACCATTAAGGACTAGATGACCTTGCACAGCACTCATAAGAGTCACATGGCTTGGCCAGTGTCACACGGACATATTGTTCCAATTATACATCAATCCCACATAAAGGTAGAGGAGGATTTTTATTGTTCTTTTGGAAGGAAAAAAAAAGCCTTCCTTGTAATTGGAACAACACAGTAATAAATGTCACAACTTTAGACTGGCTCCACTATCTCGCATCATACACAATGTCATAAATTTAGGAGCAATCTAAAATGTAATAAAAATAAAAGGTAAACTTAATGAATTATACACTGAATGGCAGGGCTGGATTAACCCTTTAGTAGGCCCTAGGCAAACAACCTTGTGGGCCTCTACTTTTCTCACTCAATAATTATAATATGTAAAATAAGCACTACCGGGCCCCTTCTTCACTTAGGGCCCTAGGCATGTACCTAGTTTCCCTATGCATTACTATGGCCCTGCTATATGGCCTTCTTCCATATACTATCAGGACCACTCGCTATAAAAAGATTCAATTGGAATATTAACCAGAATTTGGCTAGATTCTGGTTTCAGGTTGAAATAGATGTATCTATTGCATTGACATTTCCACTGATCTGGATTATTTAGATGTTTATGTTAATGAGTCTTTTTGACCTATATTTTTATAATCTGTGCAGGGTCATGGACACCATTAAGTTTAAAAAAAAATACTTACAATTCAGCTGTAAAACAGCAATTCTTATACCATGCCGTGGCTAGTTTTAAAATGCTGAAAAAATACGGGATTCATAGTGATGACTGAAATTCTACAAAATGAAAACCCTAGATTAGCCTGCCACCTTGAGGACATTTCTATCTTTACCCCAACAGAGATGGTCATAGATGTGGTCTGATTCTTCTGTAGTTTTCCCTAGGGAGCAGCACCCACTCTCCTTGCACTGAGGCTTCCAGCACCCACCCGGTCCCCACTCAGAAGGGAGGGGGGTGCTGAATGCCTAGGGTTTTTTCATTGTGAGTTCTAGTGGTCAGTGAATCTTTAAAAAGATAAAGTTTGAACCCTAATGCACCCACATAAAAAGCTGTATTGACCTAGAAGCGATAACTTATGTGTATGTTTGCAGACATAAAGAAAGATGTTTTTGCCTAGGATCAACAACAAAGATCTGGTTACACAAACACACACCCGTCAAATGCACTAATACTTCTTTAGCAACAATAATGGATCGATCTGTCATTGCTGTTGGGGAAGAACATTTTCCTTTTATTTATTTATTTTCCAAAATTAATTGCAACTCTGTAGACCTCCATGCTTCCAGAGTACTCTCAGGAGATCTAAAAAGTAGCAGTTTTGTCTGTTGGGCCATATAATAGTACCCAAGATGGTTAAGTCAGAGGGGAGAGGGAAAAAAGGGCCAGCTGTGATACTGTGATAAAGAAAGTTTGGGAGGTTTGGGAAGCACTCCGATTCTTCCTCCCTTTTCACAGAAAGCATAGAAAAGCAGGGCTGGAAGGGCCCTCTAGACTAGGTCATCTAATCCAACCCCCTGCCTGAGGCTGAATCATGGTTGCCTTCAGCTGCCTCGTTTCTCCTGCAACTCAGTAAAATATTGCTACTCACCCTGCGACCCTTTACATGTACTGCACAACTGACTGGCCAATCGCGCAATCAGTTGAGACTGGCCACATGCACAAAGTAATGATCACACTGTAACAATGTCCAGCGAGCTCTAAAAAGAGCCGACCAGCTACAACGTCCGTGCCTGACACTGTGTACTAACTGCAGAGCTGGCTTCTAGCCATTTTTTAATTTGAACATGCCTCTGCGGAACAGATGCTTAAGAGGGGACATGAATACTTGAAAGGCTACCATAAAGAAGAGGGAAAGCACCTTTTCACTCTCGCTGCAGAGGAGGACGCAGATCAGTGGCCTGAAGTTGCAGCAACGTAAGTGTAGATGTTCCCCTGCTTTGCCCGGGCAGGCTGCTGTCAGGTCTGTGGTGTGCCGGGGCGGGTGGCAGCCCCGGGCGGAGGTGGGGCAGACCTCATGGCTAAAGCACAGACGGGGCTGGGCCCCGCGACCCCTGGCGGGCCCCGCCCGGCCCGGCCCTGCTTCTCGGTGACCTGGGGACCCAGCAGCAGCCGCCCCTCCCTCCCCCTTGTCTGCCCCCGCCCCGCCCCGCCCCGCGCTCCTCCAGCCGCTAAGCGGCGCCCTCCGCCGCTGCCACCACCCGCCTGCGCATGCGCGGCGGCACTGGGCGGGGAGCGCGGCCATGCGGATCATATGGGACCGCTTGGTCCGTGCTTTCCGCAATTTCAACGTGGAGAACCGCGCGTTCCGCGTCCTCGACCGGCCCAAGCCCACCTCCGCGCCACGGTACCCCACGGCCCGGCCCGCCGAGCCGCCCGGTGAGTGTCGCGCGCGGGTCATGCCGGGAGCTGCTGTTCCCGGGCCCATGCAGGGCGGTCCCGGCACGGGTCCTGGCGAGCAGCGGGAGGTGTGGCAGGTTGCACCGGGGCCCGGGACTGGTTTGCGTTGGGCCCTTTGGTCACAGACCCACATGTACAGAAAGCGCGGGTCGGACAGAGGTCATCGCCTGCAGGGATCTTCATATCTTTTGGGACCGGGCCCCGTTTGTAAACATAGATGGCCAATGCCCCTCGCTCCGGACCTGCTGCCCCCCAGTGTGTGGCACAGGAGCTGCCCCTCGGAGGCTGGGGCAGTGCTAGGCTGCAAGGGAAAAGCTGTGGGTTCCCCTATTTTTCTCCTTTACGGGACAGTCCATTTTTCAAGTTGGTTCCCGGCCCTTTAGTATATTCTTGTGACCCACAGGTTGAGAAGCTGTGGTCTAGTCCAACCCCGTGCTCAAGGCAGGACCTGCCCCAACTAGATCGTCCAAGGCAGGGCTTTGTCTGGCCGGGTCTTAAAAATCTCCAGGGATGGAGGCTCCACCACCTCTCTGGGAAACCTGTTCCAGTGCTTCAGCGCGACCCTTTGCACGCACTGGAGCTTGGGGATGTTGCAGCGGTTGCAGCAACCAGCCTTTTTTTTCCCTGAGAAACATGCAGGGGCACCCCACCTTCCCATATATTCAAACTGGTGATGGGTGGGGATTGGCTATTATTAAATGCAAGCCAAGGAGAGTATATGGTATGTGTTTTTTCTCTCTCCTTTTTACTATCTAGAAATCCAACATGAAATCCAGAAAAAAGACAACAGGCTTCTTGCCTTATTAAAAAATGTCTATGTCGATTCCAAGGATCCACCCATGGAAGTGAGTCTCTTTCCGCAGCGAGTGCACAGCAGTATCCGCTCTTCACGTGGCCAAACTATAAGGATATCCATAACTGGTGGGGGGGAGTTGGTGCAACTTGTTGCCTTAGTGCCCAGAAGCTAACTGTTTTAAAAAAATAGCAGGTATTGATGGTTGATTTGTTTCAGATGCAGTCCCCACTTTAACAAAGGCAAAGTTTTGGCCAGCAAGGTCTTATGTTTATATATTTTATTCTACTTGATATAATCCCAAATTTGGGGTCCAGTGCAATTTGTTAAGGATACTTTCAGTCTGTATTGATGCCCTGGTTTGCCTCGTCTTCCACACAGGTGTCTTCATCTACCCTATTACTTTTAGAATGGACTAAAACAAGATGGTTTTGCTCTGTGAGGTTAAGTATTCTCTGTAAATGATTCACCCTTCAGTGAATGGCTGAAGCCTCAATATGCTTTAAAATTTAGCTCAGATAAAAGCTGATGCTTGATGACTTGAGTTAACCAGTGGCTGTGGGCTTGCAAGAAGGTCTCTTGGTCTTAGGAAAGTAGCCTTTATGTCCCCACCTTCCCTCCCAGCCCCCAGTGTGGAGCAGGGAGCTTGATAGCTGATTTTGAAACAAATTTGGAAAGGGAAGTATGAAGAGATGCTAAGAACGTTTTGAGAAATTCACAGAACAAAACTAGAAGGTGCAAAACTGCACCAAAGCTTCAAATGAAAAAAAACCAAACTGGACCAGAGGAAAAGGAAAGTTGTAAAATGTATAGAAGGTGGTTTGGGTGGGTAGGTGTGGATTGTTTTTTACAACCTAAGAAACTGTTTCCAGAAAAAGTCATCCTTTCTTCTCTCATTTATATTCTTTTTAAGTTCTACTAGAAGATGAAGAGTAGAAAGTATCTGCTCTGATGCAAACATAGGCAAATGATGTCAAGTTAAATATGTAGGACAGCATTTTCACATGTCATTACTTGACATTAAGCATCTACAGTCAGGTTGAAATATAGAAATCTGTAGCTTTTTTCTTCCCCTCCAAAGATGTTGATGGCTGAGAACTTTCATTGAAGTTTGCAGGAGTTTTGCCTGTGCTTGGGTTTTCAGAAAGTGGGTCACTGGGTGCTAGATATTTGGTCGTTCATAGATTCATAGATGCCAGGGTTGGAAGGGACCTCAACAGATCATCAAGTCTGACCCTCTGC